ACACCTTGCTTAAAAAACAAAAATATTAATTTAAATCGCCCTTATCATGGGCGACTGAGATGACACCTTCGGCTTTTTAACACGTGGTATTTGTCAAGCAGTTTATCGCTAATTGGATATGATCTAAGAAAGGGATTTCTCAGACCTGTTGGCGTTTTTGAACGAAATAAAATATTTCATTTTCCTCTGCCCGAAGGTCCGATAATAAAACTTTATTATCTCAAAAAAAAAAAAACAATTTTCAGCGACATCATCTTGTGTGGCTTTTTCCAATTCTGGAGACTGTCTGGGTTTTCGTATTAATGGTTTGTCTTCATATCCTTAGATACACTTCCCCACCCACTTAGACCTTTACTATCACTCCAATGACACACTTTCCACTTGTTACTTATCAATATTTTCATTCTCCCTAAACTTCGTTTCTTCTTTTCCTCTTGGGTGACAACCAATTCATAACAACAACCATTTTTCGTGGATTCCGCGGAAATCGGTTAGATGCTTGACCCGGATATTTTTCGACACCTGTTATCTGTCAGTCGTTCGTGTGTGTGCTCACCTATGACCTGTTTTCGTATTATTTTTTCTTTCTTTCTTCTTCGTTTTCTCTTTCCTTCTTCCAGATCGCTTGAATGTAAAGAAAGAATTATTCTTAAAACCCAAAATATTTTTCGGCCCTAAATAATTATTAAATGGTTGATAAACCGTAAAAAACAAATCATATATCTATGAATATTTCTTTCAGCTCGTCAGGTATGCATGGTGCCACAATAGGAAATACCAAAAAAAAAAAAAAATGCCTGCATTAGGATAAATGCAGCACAAATCCATTTGTCTAGACATCTCTGCTCCAAAGAAAAATATATGACAAAAAATAAAAAAAAATAAAAAATAAAATAACATTATTTACATTATTCGGACTATTGTCCTCATCTTTGTCGCCATATCTATTACAACGTTTCGGCCGTTGTACGTTCCGGCGTTCTTCAGGTGGTTGGAATGTCGAACTGAACACTTTATTTCGCTCACTGGGGTAGATTATTCTAGTTCCACGTGCCATAATGTAAATAATGTACATAATACCCCATCTCAGAAATATAGACAGATATTAAATAAAATAAATAAATGATGGTGATTTATAGAGTAAAAAACAAAAATCCTTTTTTTTACGCCTCAAATTGCTATTAAGTTGTAAACGTCATCAAATCGGTTTGTTTTCCTTGATTTGAATTCTTAAACGTTTCGATCTTCTTTGCATTGTTGAGATTTATTGTAAATTAATACAATTATGGCACAAGGCCGAAAAGAGGGGAAGGAGTTGAGGCATCTTTGCACTCTTTTTACTTAAATTAGACCAAGACTGGCAACAGCTAGTCGAAATATTTTCATAAAAATAAATCATTCGTTGGAACTTGGAGTTTTTCTTTTAATTATGCCACAACCAAGGGAGACAACCTAACTTTGAGTTAACATGTAGTTTATACAGCATTTATGCTGAGAGGACCTTAATTACAAGTAGGGGGCATACCAAGGCAGTGTATGGTTTTGAATTAAAATACTTTACTTCTAATATACTGGTAGCCAATCACAACTATAGAGTTCAGTCTGTTCTGCTATTTAACCCATAGCTGGAGGGAGAAGAGATGGATTCATACATTTCCCAGGCGTAATTCTGTGTAAGTGAATGTAACGATCTAAATTGATATTCGAAATCGGCTGGCCGTTTTGTCGTTCACCATCTGCACATCCAAAAACTTTTTTTATAGGTCGCAAATAACCAAAATCAAGTGAAAATAATTAATCAATATAAATAAGTAAATAAATGAAATAATAAACAAATTAAAAACTGCAATTTTGGCGAGAGACACCCGAGGAAAAAATGTACGTGCCAGCATATTTGCGTATATGTATGTTTCTTTATCATACCCATATCTATCTATCTATCTATCTATCTATCTATATATATATATATATATATATATATATATATATATATATATATATATATATATTGTGTATATTTAGGCAACATATTTTCATTCAAAGAGGTGTGGTTAAATAATCTAGATATATCTTGTCGATTAGCTTTCGTTGTGATCCTTAATTTCTTCGTAGCCTTAAAAAATTGATTAAGAAAAATATCAAAATTTTCTTAAGTTCTTTCAGTCTCATCTGAGACTCTCTTCAGGGGGTTAAGTTGTCTGTGAGTATGCATATATGTTTCTGGATATTCAAAACATTTCATTTGTTCGTTTTTACTGCTTATGCAGTGTTCTAGATTCAAAATTCACGTTTTTTTTCCGTATAAAGGATGTAACTTTTTCATTTTTGCTCATGCATATATAATTTTTTCATAAGCGTTCAAAGACTTTGTTGCTATACTTTATTTTGGGCTTTAAAAATGTTTAGTTTTTGCTTATTATTATTTATAGGTAATATAGATGTATTTTCAACTAATATCAGTCTAATCTGTGAGTGTGGGCATGAGTGTTCCTTTAAATGCTGAGATATTGAACTATGCTCAGCCAAATGAAATATAAGCCTTTTTGTTAGCATCGTCGTAGTAAAGCCAACATACGTATTGAGATATTTATCAGAGATACAATCTCCTAAAGGGCATTTAAATTGATATACAATGTTGGCCTTTTGCAAGATGACAGTTGGCGGAGATTTGTTTTGGACAATTAGGTTGGTTGTATTAAATTTAGTATTGTATACAATTAATTCATTTTTTTTACTTGGATCAATAGATAAAATTATACAAAAACTTACCGACATTATCACAAATCAATGTTACTTTACTTTTACCAAGTATTTTTATAAACATAACTTCAGATTACCAATGGAATCTTTTTCATACGAATTTTATCTCGTCTGTTCTTATAATTTATTGAATATCGTCCTTTCCAAAATATGTTGCTTAAACAATCAGCATATTTCCAATATACTAATAATGCTTCATTAATGTATCACGTTGAAATGCCCGTTCTCATCTGATCAGTGAACTTAGGTAACGTTGAGATTGTTCAGTGCTTAGATGGATGGCAACTTGGAAATACCAGGTTCTGTAAGCTTGCACGTGATGTGGGACCTGTGTAATTGTTATGGACTCTTCCAGCTATAAATAGGAGCAGGTACTGCCTTTTTGAGAGGGAAGTTTCCAGCAGTCAGTTCTGACAGTCGGACCGAACATTCTTGCTGTAACACTCTCGTTTGTATATGTTTATATTGCTGTTTCTGTTAATATATTTGTTTAAATCAATTCCTCTCTTTGTGTCTTTATTTCTGGCCCTAACGAGGCCACAACAATAATGGATAACAATACGGGATGAGAAAATATATATAATCCAGCTTCATATGTTTGGATTTTACTAAAATTCTAACATTGCTTTTTAAAACAATCAACATTGCTGAGAGAAAAATAATACCGGCGTCAAGAGAAACACATCCTTTTAACACGTTTTTTACGGGTATATTTGTTAAACATTGTCAAATTTTTGTACCACCAAATAAGTTTTTTTTTTAAATATTCCGAACAAGAAGAGACATGTTAAGCTAAAATTCTCAAGATTACACTCTTGTGCAAATTAATTGAAACAACAGCTTTAGTTTCCTTTCTTTCACTATATGGTCAGTTTTAGAACTGAAGGTTGTAATCGATGTCTTTTTTCCCTCAGATTGCAGTGATGTGTAATAATATGAATCTATTTTAGAGGTGTATGATGAAATTTGTTTGACCTTGAAAAATATTGCGCCATCCGTGATTGCATCAGATTTTTATCACGCCCAGACACTATTGTCTCAACTGTTGATTAGTTGTCCTACGACCATTGTCTGCGATGGGCGTTACTCCAAGATGGCGTACTAAAATTGTAACGCTGCACGAACACACTGGCAAGCCTTACCAGTGAACAAAGTACTATAGATGGCCCCGGAAACTCTCTTGATTTAAATCCAATCGAGAATCTGCGGTCAATCTGCAAGGAAGAGACTTCGTGGAATGGACATACGATGTACTAACATGTACACTGGGTCATGTTTCATTGGAAAAATACGAAAAAAAGTAAATAAAAACGGAATTATTCGTTTTGTTTCAATTAATTTGCACAATGGAGTATATTTATTTTATAAGCATATCCTGAAAATATTTACTAATAAAGGTTGTTGAATATCATTTTTATTACGAAAACAATGAAATGCATAATAAAGGTTAACACTGTGTATTAATAAAGGTTCAACAGATATTGCAATTTTGATATTAATTCTGTAGATGGACATTCAGATTAATTGCGCTCTCAAATCCGGCATTATCACCCAATATTAACGCACAGGGATTACTAAGCCTGCCACATAATAGTTTGGATATATAATGTTTAAAATGTGACTTCCAATTTACCAAATATTATAGACCAGTAGTAGTATTAATTACACCCTCTGTCCCATAATAACTGGTACATTCAGTGAATGAAATGTGCATGCAAATGTACCAATTATTATGGGACAGAGGTAGTACTAATTACACCCTCTGTCCCATAATAACTGTTACATTCGGTGAATGAAATGTGCATGCAAATGTACCAATTATTATGGGACAGAGGTAGTATTAATTACACCCTCTGTCCCATAATAACTGTTACATTCGGTGAATGAAATGTAGATTCAAATGTACCAATTATTATGGGACAGAGGTAGTACTAATTACAACCTCTGTCCCATAATAACTGTTACATTCGGTGAATGAAATGTGCATGCAAATGTACCAATTATTATGGGACAGAGGTAGTGTTAATTACAACCTCTGTCCCATAATAACTGGTACATTCGGTGAATGAAATGCGTTTTGCAAATGCCACAACTATAACAGGACACAATTCGTATAGCAAAAGAATGTATAAAAGAGCAAGGACAAGAAAGAGTGGGGAGGAGTAAGTAAGATGGATATTAGAGAGGTCGAAGGAAGTAAAAGGTGAATAAAAAGCAACGAGGCTTAGAGAAAGCGAGAAATGAAGAAGGAAAGAGAAAAACAAGATGGAAGCGACATGTATACTTCTTGTATCAAGTGATTTGTCACGTGAGTGATGAAAACTGGATCACGTGACAGCTCTCTTGTACCCTCTTCCCACTTGGCGTCCATCTTTATTCGCCTCTGTCCCACTGCTTGCGAATTCAACAATGACAATTTATAACAGTGCAAGTTTGATTTATAAATCGATAACCGTTTGGCCAGGAAATCGATGTCGACCAATAATATACACATCGATAGACTGCGACGCCAGCGAAAACATCCGAGCGGGCATATTTATTTTTTTTATTTATTAGATTTTTAAAAGGTTTGTGTAACGATTTCTCGATTCGCTGTCCACACTCAAACTCGACAAACATTTTCTGTATTTTTTTTAAAGCGAATTATTGATACTCAGAAATATTCGCGTTACACATATATAAGTAATATCATATAACGATCAGGATTTCCATAATCATTTGAGATATAGACGCGCCATGTGTACTTTAAGATGTACTAGCCCTGTGTGTGTGTGTGTGTGTCTAAGGCAGTGGTTCTCAAATGTTTTTTGTCTGGTCTGCATTTTCGGAAAGAAAATTTTCTCGCACCTCGCCAAATTTGATGTGATGAAAAGTACATTTAAAAATAAAAAAAAAAACCAAAAAACAAAAAAAGAGAGAGGTTTAACGGGAGATAAGTGCGGAATCAAAATCAGAATATTATCATTGATAACTCTCTCCTCTAATTTGCGGACTCTAATTATTATATTCTTAATACTTGATATAATCCAAAAATATCACAATGATAAAATCGGTCAATAATTATGTATAACTATTTATACCCCGGACGCATGCATGTAATTACAAGTAATCCATAATAAGATTTTAAATTTTAAAATCATATTTATTTTTGGCATATGAATCTTTTGAAACTGTTTCTAAATCTTTGATTGTCTTTCAATCATTCCGCCTCACCTGCTATCCTCTTCCGCCTCATCTGCTATCCTCCGCCTCATCTGCTATCCTCCGCCTCACCTGCTATCCTCTTCCGCCTCACCTGCTATTCTCCGCTTCACCTGCTATCCTCTTCCGCCTCACCTGCTATCCTCCGCCTCACCTGCTATCCTCTTCCGACTCAGCTGCTATCCTCCGCCTCACCTGCTATCCTCTTCTGCCTCAACTGCTATCCTCTTCCGCCTCACCTTCTATCCTCCGCCTCACCTGCTATCCTCTTCTGCCTCACCTGCTATCCTCTTCCGCCTCCCATGCTATCCTCTTCCGCCTCACTTGCTATCCTCCGCCTCACCTGCTATCTTCTTCCGCCTCACCAGCTATCCTTCGTCTCAGCTGCTTTCCTCTTCTGCCTCACCTGCTATCCTCTTCCGCCTCACCTGCTATCCTCTTCCGCCGGATATATGAGGCGCAACGGATCGTTTGGGAACCACTGGTCCAAGAAAGTAGTTTTGATCAATGTTGCAGAGACGTGGAAATTACTTCTCTGATAACATTAAATCATATTCTCTTTGACGCAAAACTAAATCATATTTACATCTTGAAGAACTAATAAAGAATTTCTTCTTTATGTGCTGTGTCCATTCAGGGTGTAGCCAATCATGTCTCTCCACAATTTCCTATCCTTCGTAGCTCTTAATGAATTTTGCCTTTTTGTTACCTCCCCAAAACCCTGTTCAGCGATCCATTTACTCAAGCTCATTGTTTTACTTTGATGTACCGCAGCTTTAAGGACATAGGCGATTATGACTCTCCACAATTTCCTATCGTTCGTAGCTCTTATTAAATTTTGCCTTTTTGTTATCTCCCAAAACCTCTTTAGCCACCTCATTTTCTTCTATGTACCGTGCCTCTTAAGAACTTAGGAAATCATGACTCTCCACAATTTCCAGTCCTTCGTAGCTGTTAATAAATGTTGCCTTTTTGTTATTCCTCCTAAACCTTGTTCTGTCATCCATTTACTCAAGCTCACTAAGTAGTACCTGTCTATATTTCTGAGATGAGCTATTATGTACACTATTTACATTATTCGGACTACTGTCCTCATCTTTGTCGCCATATTTATTACAACGTTTCGGCCTTTCAGTATCTGTCTATATTTCTGAGATGAGGTATTATGTACACTATTTACATTATTCGGACTACTGTCCTCATCTTTGTCGCCATATTTATTACAACGTTTCGGCCTTTCAGTATCTGTCTATATTTCTGAGATGAGGTATTATGTACACTATTTACATTATTCGGACTATTGTCCTCATCTTTGTCGCCATACTTATTACAACGTTTCGGCCTTTCAGTATCTGTCTATATTTCTAAGATGAGCTATTATGTACACTATTTACATTATTCGGACTATTGTCCTCATCTGTGTCGCCATATTTATTACAACGTTTCGGCCTTTCAGTATCTGTCTATCTTTCTAAGATGAGCTCTTATGTACACTATTTACATTATTCGGACTATTGTCCTCATCTTTGTAGCCATATTTATTACAACGTTTCGGCCTTTCAGTATCTGTCTATATTTCTGAGATAAGGTATTATGTACACTATTTACATTATTCGGACTATTGTCCTCATCTTTGTAGCCATATTTATTACAACGTTTCGGCCTTTCAGTATCTGTCTATATTTCTGAGATGAGGTATTATGTACACTATTTACATTATTCGGACTATTGTCCTCATCTTTGTTGACATATTTATTACAACGTTTCGGCCGTTGTTCGTTCCGGTCTTCTTCAATATCTGTCTATATTTCTGAGATGAGGTATTATGTACACCATTTACATCATTCGGACTATTGTCCTCATTTTTGTTGACATATTTATCACAAGGTTTCGTATGTTGTACGTTCCGACCTTCTTCAAGTGGTTGGAATGTCGAACTAAACCCTGTATTTCGCTCGCTGGGGTAGACCCTTCTAGTTCCACGTGCCATGTCTAATGGATCTCCTATAAACCCTCCCCTCCAAGTTCTCCACCGCCTTAATCAGGTATTAAACTCCTGTCACTGGATCTAAATAACGCCTTTATCCACTGTGCCATGCGTCCTTGAGGGTTCAGTTCGACATTCCAACCACCTGAAGAAGGCCGAAGCGTACAACAGGCGAAACGTTGTGATAAATATGGCAAGATGAGGACAATAGTCCGTATAATGTAAATAGTCTCACTAAGTAAGTTATGCGTTGTTTTCCTCTGTTCCTATTGACATCAATCTGTCCTGTGAGTATCAGATTTTCCAAACCCCTTTTCCTCATTATGTGGCCTAGAAAACTCAACAATCTCTTGATGTTAAATATAACTTTCCTTTTCGTTTCCATTTCTTATAAAACTTTTTAGTTGCTCATATAATCAGTCCATATCATCCTCAGCATCCTTCTGTAGAAGTACATTTCTGTTTGCTTCAAGCCACTTCTTTATCTTTGAGGAAACTGTCTAGTAGTCACTGCCATCAGGTTTCAAGCGTATTCTCTATTTTCAAGTATGTGGGTAAGCCCTCATTCCCGTCTCAGTGTTGACTCATTTGCCTTCTTAGTGTCATTAGAAAAGATTATGAAGCTATACTCAACAAGAAGTTTAACTATTTGCTCATATCACCTGGTTAGAGTAGACTAGGGAACAACAGCAATTAAGAGGTGGTTCCACGTTCCTCAATACCTCCCGATCAAAGACCTTGTTGCCGGATGTAGTTTATCGTCATACCTAGGAAGGTCCAAAATTATATTTTATAGTTTAGATATAGAGGAAAAAAGATCTGTCTATATTTCTGAGATGAGGTATTATGTACATTATTTACGTTATTCGGACTATTGTCCTCAACTTTGACTCCATATTTATTGCAGCGTTTCAGCCGTTGTACGATCCGGCCTTCTTCAGGTGGTTGGAATGTCAACCACCTGAAGAAGACCGACAAAGATGAGGACAATAGTCCGAATGATGTAAATAGTGCACATAATACCTCATCTCAGTATTATAGACATATACTGAAAGGCCGAAACGTTTTAATAAATATGGCGACAAAGATGAGGACAATAGTCCGAATAATGTAAATAGTGTACATAATACCTCATCTCAGAAATATAGACAGATACTGAAAGGCCGAAACGTTGTAATAAATATGGCGACAAAGATGAGAACAATAGTCCGAATAATGTAAATAGTGTACATAAATACCTCATCTCAGAAATATTGATAGATACTGAAAGGCCGAAACGCTGTAATAAATATGGCGACAAAGATGAGGACAATAGTCCGAATAATGTAAATAATGTAGGAAAAAAGATGATGTTACTTTAACTTTATTATTATTATTATTATTATTTATTTATTTAATGATGTTACATATGAGCCCGTGGCCATTCGCATTCTGCCCATGAATCCCGGGTTCGAATCTCACCATGGTCTGTTTGTCAGGAAGGATGATGTTATCGGACTGGAGGGTCGATCCCAGAAAACCATACCACGGGTTGACCAAAGCCTTGTGAATGAAATTGCGTAGACGGGACCCTTGTGGACTGTCGATAGATGTGCTAGCACGAAATCATTGTGGCCGATAACACGCTCTTTCCCAGAAACTGTAACTAAGGTCTGAAGGATGTTGCATAGTTGCAGTATAAACCACAGGTGGGCTCCGTAGGTGTTGAACAAACACAATGTGCCTGAGCAAGCGTCTGCAATAGGGATTGGCGTCTGAAATAGGGATTCCCTAGTAGACGGATAAGACAGTAGTCCGAACAATGTAAATAATGTTTTGTGATGCCAACGAATACTCGTTGTTATTTTCGTAATGCTCGTTGTAGTAGAGACTTTGTAATCGCAGATACAACTATAGTAAGCCGTTGAACAATACTGGTGTCAGACGTCTTCGAATAATCTCGCAATAATAGTGCTTGCTCGATAATACTCGCTCGAATAATGACCACTGAATAGTGATCCGAATAGAGAAATAGTATAGTGAATAGAGTAGAGAATAGCGGTCCATATAGTAATAGAGGATAGAATAGAAATGAGATCCGTATAGTATAGAGGATAGACTAGAAATGACGATCAATCTAGACGTCACGCAATTTCCTATATATGACTTTCGTCTATGGTCACGTGATCCACTTAATTCAATAATGGGATCGCCTGTGTTTGTTCACTAGCGATCTATGTTCAAACTCAAGTGCAGGCAGCGACACTTTATTCCTATATATAACATAATGTAAATAGTTACAATAGCTCATCCCATAAATATAGACAGATGAGGTGGGTGAATATGGCAATACCTCATCTCAGAAATATAGATATGAATAGATTCTTTGATACCTTAGTTGACGAAGAGTGTTAGAATTCAATATTGATTAAGTTCTCATTTATTTACATTGGCTACAGGTGTTTAATCGATTCCAGTGAATGTGAATACATCTGTTTATCTCCGTTAACATCGGCGTCTTTATTGATTTCTTTTTATCATACCGGTCAAACAGGTGATATTTGATGCTTTTTACTAAACATAAAGTGTTTTCTTACGCACAATACGAGAAATCTTGAAAGAAATTTAAAGGAAAAAAAAAGGAAGGGCCGTATTATACACAAGTATACGATTTCAGAAATTTTTTTGTTCAGCTGAACAAACCTCTTATTTGAAACAGCAAGATTGAAAATACACTTAGTATGCACAAGTTTGAGCTGTTCGGGTCATTCTTATCAATCCTGAAACGACCACTCGTCTACATCCTTTCGAACTAACGCGGATGTTCCCCAGGTTTCCATCCTTGGTCCTACGCTGTTTGTAAACTTCATTAATAACCTTCCCGATGGCATCAGCTCGCAACTTGGCATCTACGTTGATGACACAACCATTTACTTTTGTCTCGATTGTAAGGCCGATCAGTCCGACAAGGTCAAAATGGCAGCTGATGTATAAAACGACCTGAAGACGATCGTTAGATAGGGCAAAAGATAGCTTGTTAATTTTAACGCCTCCAAAACTAAACTTCTCTCCATGAATCATCTGAGAAACCCTTTGTTGCCTCCCATCGGCATACCTGGCGCTATAGACCAAGAAAGTGGCTCATTTCCCTTTCTAGGTATAACGTTCTCAGCTGACATGGAAAAGTGGAAAGACTTCATTAAATTCATCACTAAATCAGCTGCTAAGAAAATAGGTTCACTGTGTCGGGCGAGAAAATTTTTCTCTCTGGAATCTATTTTACATATCTATAAGTCTACCCTTCGTCCATGTTTGAAACATTGCTGCCATATATGGTCCGGTTCCCCTGCTATTTTCCTGGAACTCCGTGATAAGATCTAAAGAAGAATAAGCAATATTATTCTTCCGTCCTGATTTGGCGGTTTGGCTTCAGTCATTTGCCCACCGCCGTAAGGTTACCTCTCTGTGCTTTTTTTTTAAAAATAAATACTTTCATGATAATTGTTCAGATGGGCTCTTCGCTATGGTACCTAGACTTTATGAATTTAAGCGCGGTACTAGACTGGTAATGAGGTCTCATCAATTTACAGTAGAGCTGGCTAGATGTAGCCGTAAGTTCTATGCTAACAGCTTCTTTTCTAGGACATCTCACTCGTGGAACTCTTTCCTGCTTCCATGCTTTCCAACCAACTTTAATCTGCAAAAATTTAAATCTAATGTCAATCGCTATCTACTGTCTATCTTATTGCTCTTTTTTCTCCGTTCCTAATTCCTTCACATCCTGTAACACCTTGCGTATTAGCGGGTGTACTGCCTTGCTTGGGTGGGGGATACCGTTTAAAAATAAAAAAAAGATATGAAAAATCAGAGACTAAGCATTTCCTGTTTAGGGTTGGGTTTCCGCTTTCTTTCTAAAATCTTTTCCTTCTCTTTCACTCCCTCGCGTCTTAGTGGCATTATTGCCTTGCGTGGGGTGTTTTTTTTTAAAGCAGGTATTGATAATTGTTTACGAAAGATATCTGATATGTCAGCAGAATTTGATCCTCGCTTCAATTCTAAGGAAAGACTATTTTTTTTTCATACTTTATTAATATTTTTTAATCATTTCATCAAGCAAGAGAATAAAGCCACTAAGATGCAAGACTGAAAAAAATACGAGAAAAAGAATACTGTTAAGGAGATAGAAAATTAAAAGAACAGGATTTAAAAAGGAGAGGATGTTGTGGAGAGCCATGATTGACCAGTCCTGAATGGACCTGGAACATAGAAGAAGAATAATTCCATCTGAAATATTTTGTCATTGTTAAAACGAATTTCATACAGGGTCATTTCTTTCTTTCTTTCTTTCTTTCTTTCTTTCCTTCTTCCTTTCTTTCCGTTCTTTCTTTCTTGCCTATTGCCCTCTTTCTATCTTTTTCTTTCTTTCTTCTTGTTCTCTTTCTTTCTTTTTTATTGTTGTCTTTCTTTCTTTCTTTCTTTCTTTCTTTCTTTCTTTCTTTCTTATTGTTCTCTTTCTTTTTTCTTTCTTTCGCTATTTATTTCATTTTTATTGCCGTCTTTCTTTCTTATTGTTCTCTTTCTTTCTTTCTTTCTTTCTTTCGTTTCCTCTCTGACGCCAAAAGTGTCCGCCATTTTCTCAGCTAATTCCATCAAATTGGGAAACAAGCATTTATCAAAGAATTAATTCCGAATTTGTTATGAAGCAAAAGAAAATGGTGAGGCCGTTTGGTAAATCCTGTCGAGCACAAACGATGTTATTTGTGTGGAAAGTGCTCATGCGTGAACACGGCAATTTATGCTTGGTTAGCAATGCTCGTTAACAGGAGACAGTAACTATCAAATCACAATCAGTGGATTATATGTAGCCTAAACTAGATTCATACCGCACACAGGATGCTTGTTGATGCATCTTGCCTCTTCCTTTCATTTTTTTTCGCCACACACACACACACACACATCTATAGGAATTGTAGAAAAAGGCTGACCGTATGGACCACTCATTGAGGATCGGAATGAGTTCTTAACTGATCGAGCAAGACAAGCTTACTAACCGTTACACCACATCGAAGTCTCTCTTTTTTTCTCTCTCTCACGCGCGCGCGCACACACACACACACACACATATATATATATATATATATAAAGAAATATACTCTTAAGGTGTGCTATATTTATGGGATAAAGTGCTCAATATCAGAGATTGAATGTATGTAAATATAAAAGTGAACATTGAAGCCAACACGTAGAGGCGACAGGCTGTTTTGATGCTAGACGCAGTCGTCAGGCCACCTGAAGATTGCGTCTAGCATGAAATAGCCTGTCGCCTCTAAGTGTTGACTTCAATGTTTACTTTTTATATATATATATATATATATATATATATATATATATATATATATATATATAATAGCTGGCCACTCGTATTCGAGGATATCCGTCCATTAGGACGGTTATTCAATTCCGATTGCAGACGCTCGCTCACTTGATTGGTGAAATGATTACAAAATATTAATGAAGTATGAAAAAAATATCTTTCCTTAAAAATTGAAACGAGGAACAAATGCTGCCGTCATACCAACTATCTGTCATAAACAGGCACATTTGTGTTTGTTCAACACCCACACTCTGTTGTTTATACTGCAAATATGCTGGGCAGACCTTAGTTACAGTTTCTGAAAGAGAGCATGTTATCTAGCGTGATCACCAATTTGAACGAGGACAGCAGACTCAAAAACCTCGGTCACGATGACTTGTGTCTTCGTGCTAGCACAGCTATCGACGGCCCCCAAGTATTCCGTCTACGCAGTTTCAATCACAACGCTTGGGTCAGCTTCAGGCGCTTTCCAAAGATGTCGCACGCTGGGATCGCCCCCCTCCAGACCGATAACATCAGGAAGTCTCCTTCCTGACAAATCAGAAAGCGAACCACTCGGCCACGCGCCCGTAACAATATATATATATATATATATATATATATATATATATATGTATGTGTGTGTGTGTGTGTGTGTGTGTGTGTGTGTGTGTGTGTGTGTGTGTAAATTATTTTCAGATAGCTGTATCTGTGAAGGAACAAAATGAATAAAAACAAGATGAAAACAATTCTTAGCTGACGCGTTTCGTCCTTTTGAGGTACTTAATCTAAGATTTATTTTGTTGCGCGTGTTTATATACAAAGGCTAGGATGTCATTGGTTTATCAAAGTTTTTTAAATTTGAGAACGTTCATAAATGTTCATATGGTAGTTGAGGGTTAGGGTTAGGGTTAAAAGTAAGCGAGTAATATATATATATATATATATATATATATATATATATATATGGTCCCCAGTAAGAAAGCATTAAATTCAGAACGAAATTTATTTAGCTCTCCTGATTAATACACAAACTGAACAATCATCGTAGATGTTGTATATGTTTACTTGAATGTTCAACACAAAGTTTTAGGCGTGATGACCCGGAGGCAGTAGCTTTGCTAATAGTGCGAAGAGGCATTTCATTCCAATCTTCAGTTAAGTTCCACTTCAATGAATCAATATTGACGATGCCACGCCAACCAGTAAAACATAACATTCAGATCTGGGCTTTTAGAGGGTGACTGAGATGGACCAATTTGAGCTGCAGTATTTTCTCGCAAATACTTCGTTCAAGGAGAGTTTATGGTAGGTGGCGTTGTGTTGCCATATGGACTAGGTTACATTTGTCATTCATGTAAATTTGTGGCTAGTCTGTCTTCAACGTTTAACGTGTGTAGCAGTGAGTTAACTGAGAAGTGTTCCGTTTAATAATTGGCAGCATATTCATATCGTGTGCAGGCAGATATGATTTTTACATACAGCCGCGCGAATGGTAATAGACGCGAGGCTGCACGGCTGTATCAGATTGCCTTTCCACACCTTTAGAGGTGTTTATCGTTGCGTTGCTGAGACAGAATCTTTGGCATCACAAATTAGGGATCGAGGAAGACCGAGATCCGCTCTTACACCTGATCAAGAGGAACACATTCTACCGGCTATCGGAGACGATTCAGGTTTTAGCACGCGTCAAGTGGCCCTAGTATGTCGTACATCTCATAGTACTGCACAGAGGGTACTTCAAGAGCATCTCCTGTATTCGCATCGTTTGCAACGTGTGCAGGGTCTTTCGCCGTCAGATCACATGTTACGGAAGAACTTTTCCCGATACGTTTTTTTTTTTTTGTCTTTTCAGTCTTGTTTACGGATGATGCAACATTTGGAAGAGATGGAATAACAAATTTACACAACCAACATTTATGGCCGACACCAGCATCATTTTACGATTAATGTGTGGGCTGGAATTGTGGGTGATTGTCAGGAGCTGTCAGTAAGGGTTTTATTCGAACACACTTCCAGACCTGCTAGAGGATGTACTCCTGCTAATACGAAGACGCATGTGGCTAATGCATGATGGGGCTCCAGAACATTTTAGTCACATTATTCGAGATCTACTGGTTGACATCTTCCATGAAAGATGGACAGGTAGTGGGTAGCGGTTCCATGGCCTGCAAGTTTTCACAACTTCAACCCTTTGTATTTTTATCTGTGGGACCACCCGAAACAACTTGTTTATGCAGCGGACATTAATAATGCAGAGAGGCTTCATGAACGTTACATGGGGGTCTGCGAAACTATTTGAACCGTATAGGAGCATTTGAAAGGGTCTATCGACAGGTGTATGCGCATTTAGATGCCATCAGGGGACAACAGGTTGAACATTTGTTTTGAGTTGCTGTGCTGAGGTACAATGATATTAATTTGAACATTTTAATAGGGACATTTTACCCATGCTTTGATGTAACGAGCCCACCCTGAAATGTATTTTTGATATTTTATATATATATATATATATATATATATATATATATATATATATATATATATATATATATATAATGTATAGTTAGGCACCGATTTTTCATTAATGCATGTTTCATTAAAAAATATAGACAAGTTTTGTTTATTTATTTTAAGTAAGTTCCTTTCATATTGTCTGATATGCTTAATAACATTATCATTGAAAGACGAAAGGAAATCACCATATTGATACATATTTTTTAATCCTATCTAAGCTTTCGGCTTACATAAACCATTATCAAAGATGACAATTACATTTCAATATATCAAAACAATACACGAACGAAAACCTAATGATAGTCTGTTTTTGTTATTTATATATATATATATATATATATATATATATATATATAAGTTTTTTGTAGTATAAAATTTAAGGATAGCTGGGAATAAGCATAATTTATATGGCATTTTAATGTATATTTTAAAAGCTAAAAAACAACCGGTTTCATTCCAGCCTTATCAAGTTTATTTCTGGGATCTAAAAAATATAAACGTGTAAATTTAATTAATATTAATGGTAACCAATGAAGGGAAAAGAAAAAAAATGAATTTCAAGAAAACTAGAGTCCAATAACATTCAAACCCAGTAAGCATTCGCTCTGTTTACAGAGAGAAGGCCCACGGGATCTGATATACAAGGACTCTAGAAACTTGAGGTGATATGAGGAGTAGGACCTCGATAAAATTGAAAAACGGTCCACCCTGAAATCAAAGACACAACTCCTACTATTTATAACATGGTCTGCAATTGAAGAGCCAGAAGTATTGGTTAGTTGGCTTTTCCTGGCATCTGGATTCAAAAGAGAAAGTTATCAGAACAAATCATAAGCGCCCTATAAATTAGGGTCTTAATCAAATTACCTTTTCGTTGTATGGAACAAAAAGAGTCCCAACGTGTATAAAGTCCCGAAAAAGTAGCCTTTCTCAATACAGAAGTCCAAAAATTGTCACTAATCATATGAACAAAAATGTCCAAAAAGGAAAGACAAGAATTGGACTCATTTTCTACGGTAATATATATATATATATATATATATATATATATATATATATACATACATATGAAGAAATATAGTCTTAAGGTGTGCTATATTTATGGGATAAAGTGCTCAATATCAGAGATAGAGCGTGTGTAAATATAAAAGTGAACATTGAAGTCAACACTTAGAGGCAACAGTCTGTTTCACGCTAGACGCCAAAATAGAATACCCACAATGCACCACTGACCCGTATATATAAATAGCCGAGAAAAATAACAGCACTCGTGGCCTGACGATTGCGTCTAACATGAAACAGAGTCGCCTCTAAGTGTTGACTTCAATGTTCACTTTTATATATATATATATATATATATATATATATATATATATATGTGTGTGTGTGTGTGTGTGTGTGTGTGTGTGTATGTATGCATATGAGTATTGGTGCTGTCAAGATTAGTGTAGATATTGAAATGTCTGTCTGGATGAATATATACTGAAATTAAATAGGAGTAGATAGGTTTGCCTATTATCCGGTGCACACTCCTTCCGGTTTTTTAACAGGATTAGGGGTTTATCCCTTATTTCATGTTCAGGATTGGTTTTCCGGTTACTTCTAAATGTTTATTCTCTTTAACTTCCATGCGTCTTAGTGGCATTATCGCCTTGCTCGCGTTGAATTGAATAAAAGATATTTACCATTTTCGAACCACTTTTACCAGTTTGGAATGCTGCTGAAACTCAACGTTTTCCTATCTTCGAGGGACTTTTCGGAAGAAAATTATTAT